CATACTCCTCCTCCCCAATCTGATATCCAATTTTTCTTTATCTAAATCATTTGATACCCTCATCTTATCGCTGATGCAATAAGATCAAAGCAAACACAATATGCAGAACAACCACTGTGAAAAAAATAGTGAAATTCCAAGCACTTTCGTGATTTCTCACATTACCAAGAAACTTTGAGAAATCACGAAAGGGCATGGAGTTACACTATTTTTTTCACAGTGGTTGTTCTCCATATTTATACTGATATATTGATAGTCTCTCATGCCCTGTGTTGAATTGATAAAGATCCAGGGAATGAGATATTTCCTAACAAAACTGACTAATGTTACACACATGTTTTATTTACAATTACGTTCTCATAATTTAACATAAGCGAGATTTAACCAAACTTTCAGATTGGTTAAATACAATCACTTGGTAGAAAAAAATCAAGAAATAAAACCAATGGAAGCCTATCTACCTCACGTGTTGGGATCGAAACTTACATCCTAGAAAAGAAAAAGGATTCAACTCCAATTCCCAGTGCGGAAAAAATAGGAAATCCTTTATCCAAAACAAAAAAAAAAGTGTGAAACCATTTCTGGCGTGCAAAATAGGATTTAATACTTCACACTCTGTAGTCTCGGAGCTTCAAATTCTATATATAATACATTTTTTCTCCGTAGGGAAATGGCTTTGGAACACGTTTTAATTCTTACATGATCTGGTTTGAAAAAAAAGAGACCGGAAAAATATCGTTTGTCTCGGACCTTAGAGGAAACTGATGTGGGTGGGGGATACAATATATTGATTTACTGGACTAGTTATCAGAATAATAATAATAATAATAATAATAATAATAATAATAATATATTTATTATTATTACTCTTATTATTATTATTATTATGATTATCACTGTAATAAAAATTACAAAAAAATATAATAGTAATAATAACAATAATAATTATAATTATTATTATTATTATTATTATAATTATTATTATTACTACTACTGCTGCTGCTGCTGCTACTACTACTACTACTACAACTACTACTACTACCACTACTACTACTACTACTACTACTACTGCTACTACTACTGCTACTACTACTGCTACTACTACTACTACTACTACCACTACTACTACTACTACTACTACTACTACTGCTACTACTACTACTACTACTACTACTACTACAACAACAACAGCAACAGCAAAAACAATAATATTAATAATTATTATCATAAAATTAACAATAAAGACAATAAAACAATAATAATAACACTACCAATCATGCGAAAATAAATCAAATTTCATTTATCCTCACGAAATTATTTCATTAAAACAGTGAAAATAACGTGAAAATACTTATAATAAAAGAAGCCATGACGGTCACCTGAAGGTTGGCACTGGTGCCATTTGTTCTGATTACCTTTTTCATATCAATTTTCAAAAAAACAATTAAAAGTAATTGCTAAATTACATTGGCCAAATATTGGCAACGCGGTAATGGTGTAGACCAGAGACTGCTTGCTTTTATCCTCGATTGAAAGTGCTGTTATTTTTATTGTTTACACACACATATCTATCTATCTGTGTATTTATTTATTCATTTATATATATATATATATATATATATATATATATATAACACTGATCTCTGGCTGAAGGAGACTCGAACCTACGAACCTTGGAACAAGGTACGCAGTGCTTTACCAATCTACCCACACTGGACCAATACCTTGGAGTCCAGCTTGCGTTAGACTTTGATCCAAGGCAGCCAGCTTTCAGGGAGAAGGCTTACAGTTTTTCATCTCATCCCCTGCATGCATGAGCCTTACTAGAGATATTTCGCCTGCTCTTGCGAATTCCTTGCATATATATATATATATATATATATATATATATGTGTGTGTGTGTGTGTGTGTGTGTGTACTCACCTAGTTGTGGTTGCAGAGGTCGATTCACAGCTCCTGGCCCCGCCTCTTCACTGGTCGCTACTAGGTCACTCTTCCTGCTCCATGAGCTTTATCATACCTCTTCTTTTTATCTGTGTGTGTGTGTGTGTGTGTGTGTGTGTGTGTGTGTGTGTGTGTGTGCGTGTAAGAATAACTCACATTTAACAAAAGGTAAGTAGCAACGCAATTTTTGGGGGGCTATTTCGAGAGCCTCCTCAGGTGATACTCAGTTACGATTAGTTGCTTAATCGGACTCACAGTATATCCAGTACTCCAAGGGACGTGTGTAACCTGTTCTTCACCAGTCAAGAATACTTTTATCCCTAAAATAGTGGCACATATATACCAAGAGACATATACCTTTCGGAGTATATATTCTTGAACTCATCTATAGTAAATGAAGGAAGCCCTTATGTATTCGAAGCCAAAAGTGTCAAATGTGTAAAAGGGTGGACAGGTAAAGTAGTGGAAGGTCGCGGTCAGGTGACCAAAAGCTCCAGTGATTAAGACCCTCGTCAGGAAACACTTGTCCTGTTTCTTGACGAGTCTTAACTATCCTATCTACTGAGTCGTAGAGGAGTTTTGACAATGTTCCCATCTGGCATAACGGAGGATCGAGCCTTCTGCATTACAAACATTCCACAACTCCATTGCCAAATCATTCTCTTCTTAATTCCCATTTTTTTCCAGTTCAAGCCATTACTGTGGGAATCAGTCAGACTTGCAGTCTTGGTCAATCATCTTTTCTTATTTGTCAAAATTGACGAGAAAGATGTTGAGGAAAGACTCAATATTCTCAGTTAGTGAAATGACACTGGGATTATAATTAAAACCATAATTTTTGAACGGGGTGGCCAGGTAAGCCAGCAGAAGGCCCTGGTCAGATACACGAAAGCTCCAGCTGTGGGTCATCATATGACTAAGACCTGTGTCAGGAAGCACTTGTCGTGTTTCCTGGCAAACCTTACCTAACTGAACTTGGAACAGCGCTTAGTTTAACTAGTTAATTAAAGGAAACACTCTGTTATGTACCTTCGCTGTGTGTTCTTCCTATCAACACTACAACATCACAAAATTAATTTCAATTTTGTAATTCTCGGAACTCAGTGCGTCAAAACATCGCATTACTACCATTATCCCCATTTAAAAACGGAGGAAACTGCACGTTCTAGGTGGCTAACAGGTTAATGACGGACATTAAAGACATAAATGAAAACTAATAGGCCTCACGGCCAGCAGAATTTACTTTGTCTTTAAGTCAGATCTCTAATAAAGCCATTCTTCATAGAGCGATTTTTTTTGTATATGCGATTAAAAAAAATGTATACAGAGCTTAATAACATGTAAAGAGGCTTTCACGGTGCTCTACTATTTTGGACGGTCTCTTTTTTTCAGTCGCATTTGCAGAAAATCGCTCTAAGTAGAAAAGCTTCGTAACAGAGCTGACTGTAACGAAATGTTTCACACTGTGTACAGCTTTAGTAAGTCATGACTCGTTTCAAGCTCTACGCAGAGCGAAACGTTCCTCCAAAAGAAATCCTACTGAAGATCTTGTGTTCTTTGTCCTTCCTCACAACATGTCCTCAGATACGCCACGTCACCCACCTGGCTATCAGCGGGGAAAAAAAATCAGCTGTCCTAACCCTGCTGTCAGTGGGTGCTTAATATTCTCTCGTGTATGCAACACGAGCAAGAGGGTGAGACATCGTGTCAAGGCACTACCGCTACTAATTTGTTTTTACCCCTTTCGACTGCCCGTTGGAAATTTGATCGTGTTCTGGGTTTTTGATCAACATATCGGAAAAGGGAGAGAAAAAAATTGCCCTGTCAGAAATTTAAAAAAACACACAAACGTGTTGGATCTATCGACAGAAGATTTAAGAGATACATTGTTGATATAAAGATGACTTATACAGTACATGAGGTGTTAGAGATATATTTTTAGCACATATTTATGTGTTTGTCATTGATTATAATGCGAAAATCTCATCCAGCTCCTCAGACCTGGCCCCTCAAAGAAGGTTCCTTGATGCTGGTGAGGGGCTCTTGATCTAGGGAATTGGATCTGTACTCCAGTTCTCTGAATTAAGCCTGAATACCTTCCACATCCCCCCCCCACACAGGCGCTACATAATCCCACGGGTTTAGTGCACCCCCTTGATTATAATAATAATAATCCTCAGACTTGGAGCGTGTCCCCAAAATACAGCAGGCATTACCCCTCTGAACAGCCGCACTGAGTTGCTGGAACAGAAAACTAGCTGCCCTGGGATCCCTAGTTACACTGATGAGTCTTTTGCCTAGCTCCTTAAGGAACTTATATTCTCAGTATATTGAACCAGAACGACTACTAGAACAAAAATTAGAAGAACTAGAAACTGAGCGTGAATTGAAGCTAAAGCGAGAACTAGTCAGAATTAGCGATAACGTTAGAAAAATAACTAGAAATGTAATTAGCCCTTAACACAGACTTAAGGTTACAATACCGTGGCTGAAACAGTTCTTCATTAACCCACAGTTCAGAGAGGAAACTCGAGACGACATTTCGGTCCCTCTTGGATCCCCAACAGGTCACAACTTGATGGGATAATGGTACAGGATCGAAACGTAGTCTACAATTTTGCCCAGCTATAGTTTTAGTTTTCAGAATTTATAACTAGAGCGCTTGTCAGGACTCCAAGATAAGTGGTACTGAAGTACTCAACAGCGCTGTGCTAACTAGTACTCTAGTACTTTCAGTGCTTGCTCTAGCATTTGAATTCTAGCTAGCACGCCAGGACTTGCAGGTGCTAGAGTGCTGGGTATCACTCTAGCACTCGCTAAAACCCCAGTACTAGCTATGGCCTTAGAATTCCAGCTAGCGCTCTAAGACTAACTGGTGTTAAAATTCTAGGTAGCACTCAGATAACACTCTAGTGCTAGCTAGTACTGCAGTGCTAGATGATGCTAGAGTGTTATGTAGCTCTTTAGTTATCCATAGGATTCCCCTAGATAGTACTAGAGTGCTAAGTAGCACTCTGCTTACAAGCACTCTAGGCCTAGATTACCTCTAGACTAACCTTGTAGGGAGGCCGGAGAGCAGGAGGAGGTGTGGAGGTCAACGTCGTCCAGTGTGGGAGGTCCTGGAGTGGGAGGTTCACTCCCACACCCAGGGGAGCCAGGCTCCTGCTTCACCCTGGGGGAGAAGACAGATTGTTACTGGGGTTGCACCACTGTCCGGGAAGTTACTGGATAGGTGGGTGTGTTGTACTGGTCGCCGAGGTATGTTGCACACACACACGCACGCACACACACACCAACACACACACACACACACACAAAAAACACACACACACACACACACACACACACACACAACTGCACCATTCAAGAACGGAGACAAACGGGGATACTACCCAACAATCTCATATTCGTGACCAGAGAGAAAAATTATTTTGACAGAAAGTTCATTTCGTGTTAAACTTAACATTTCCTCCATCATCTCAGAGGTGAGTCGTGTGGGAATACGATTCAGAAACCACAAAAAGCAAAATGTTGTTGCTTTTGAGTCCTTCGTCACCCTGAGGAGTTTAACGCCCAAGTCCAAAATATGATCCCACAATCTTCCCATGAAGCAAGAGAGTGTGTGCCTACTGAGAGGAAATTGTGACGATGTTCAAAATCCCTTCGTATGACGGTCTTCTAGGTGACCCAGATAGGTGTTAAGAGCACCTGATTTACATTCCTTGTGTGGAAGACAGGTGGCGGTTATTGTAGATACTTCTGTGTAGAACCAAGCTATCTCCTTATCGTCTGTCAGGGGTAGAATAATGACTCCATTTCGACGCATCTGGCTGCCAACGAGTCTGCTCAGCTGGGGTTGACAGAGATGTAGGAAGGGAGAGAGAGAGAGAGAGAGAGAGAGATCATTTATCCCCAGGATGACTCGCGTCTGGAACACATTCGTACAACATTATAATGTCAACGAGATAAAGTCAGTTGATCAAATGAAAATGCTGGCCCACAAATGGCTCCAACTTCATCCTGTTTCCTACTTGTATGTTTCATAACAAAATGCTTTCAGTAGAGCTGATGTAGGTAACAGCTCTTAGCTTGTCAATAAAGTTAGGAATCCTTAACTTGTAAATAGCTTGTCAGTAAAGCTAGGGATACTTAATCTAACCTTGTTAAACCCTGTTTAAAAAAGAGAGAAAGAGAAGAGAAAAAGAGAGAGAGAGAGAGAGAGAGGAGAGAGAGAGAAGAGGAGAGAGAGAGAGAGAGAGAGAGAGAGAGAGAGAGAGAGAGACGAACGATAAAGGATAAAGCAAATAGGAGAGAACACAAAAAAACATCACAATCTACCCCAGAAAAAACAGTACAGGAGTCATTCCCAAAAGACTTGGCAGACGATGCAACATCCCCCCATTGAAAAGCAGGGGTGTCACTAGCACGTTAAGAGACCATACAATAAGTGTCAGGGGCCCGAGACTGTTCAACTGCCTCCCAGCATACATAAGGGGGATTACCAACAGACCCCTGGCAGTCTTCAAGATGGCACTGGACAAGAACCTAAAGTCGGTTCCTGACCAGCCGGGCTGTGGCTGGTACGTTGGTTTGCGTGCAGCCAGCAGCAACAGCCTGGTTGATCAGGCTCTGATCCACCAGGAGGCCTGGTCACAGACCGGGCCGCGGGGGCGTTGACCCCCGGAACTCTCTCCAGGTAAACTCCAGGTTAGCATGAAAACAATAAGACCCAAGAGTGGCGTATCCCTGACTCTTCCGAGCACCACTCAAAGAACTGGTAAATCCTCGCCTTTAAACCCCTTACAGCACTTATACAAAAGGATGAAAGTCCCCGGCAGAGCGGCGGTGATCGCCAAGCGCCCCTTTGGCTCGACCATGACGTTAAATATTGATTCCTTAAAGTACGTTTTCTTCTCTGAATTTGTGAAGATTCACTTGGTGCATTTTTTTGAGGGGACTTACGTCACTGTGTCGAAGGTTATGTCTGTCTGTCTGTCTGTCTGTCTCTCTCTCTCTCTCCTCTCTCCTCTTCCTCTCCGCTCCTCTCTTCTCTCCTCTCCCCTCCTCCCTCCCCCCCGGGGCCCCCCCCCCCCCCCTCCCTCTCTCTTTTCTCTCTCTCTCTCTCTTTTCTCTCTCTCTTTTTCTCTTTTTTTTTTTGCACAGGGTTTGACAAGGTTAAGGATCCCTAGCTTTATTGACAAGCTATTTACAGGTTACGGATTCCTAACTTTATTGACAAGCTAAGAGCTGTTACCTACATCAGCTCATTTGAAAGCATTTTTATTGTTATGAGACATACAAGTAGGGAACAGGATGAAGTTGGAGCCACAGATGGCTCCAACTTCATTTGATCAACTGACTTTATCTCGTTGACATCATTATGCTGTACAAATGTGTTCCATACTCGAGTCATTCTGGGTATATATGATCTCAGATGGAGCGATGTTCTGGAGAAGGGTACAGCCAGAGTGAAGTTGCTGCTTTCTGCCCGTCTTGTGGCATAAAAGCTTGTTTCACGCTGTCCTCGAAGTGGATCCAAGTGTGGTACTTTGACAATATAGGCCTTGTAAATAACAGTAAGGCCACCCACATCCGTCCTGTGTTGAAGGCTCTGCTGAAATGACAGATCTATCCAGGATGGGTCCAGGCGAGAATGAGACGCCCTTGCTCTGTTCTCCACTCTGTCAAGCAGTCGCAAGAGAGGAGGAGCAGGCAAAACCAAAGAAAGTGGAGCATACTAAAGGGTTTGGAGCGTACTTGTGCCTCATACAAAATCTTGCAACCCCAAACTGTCAAGCAGATCAAAGATACGGCGAAGTGCTGTAAGTTTCCCTGGCTGCCTTGTTTGCAAGATTTACAACATGGTTTCTTCATGGTCAGTTTGGAGTCAAATTTCACTCCAAGGATATCAACTTCTTCTCCAGGGCCAACACCCTCCCATTCATCCTTACTACTGCACTAGCAGTAGAGAGACGGTTCTCTCTCTCTCTCTCTCTCTCCTCTCCTCTCTTTCCCCTCTTCTCTCTCTCTTTCTCTCTCTCTTCTTTCTCACTCCTCTCCCCTCTCTCTCTCCTCCTCTCTCCTCTCTCTCTCTTTTCTCTCTCTTTCTCTTTCTCACTCTCTCCGCTCTCGCTCTCTCTCTCTCTCTCTCTCTCTCTCTCTCTCTCTCCTCTCTCTCCTCTCTCCTCTCTCTCTTTCTCTCTCTTCTCTTTTCTCTTTCTCTTTTCCCCTCTCTCTTCGCTCTTTCTCTCTTCCTCTCTCCCCCTCCTCTCTCTCCTCTCTCTCTCTCTCTCTCTCCCTCTCTCCCCCCCTCTCTCTCTCCTCTCTTTTCTCTCCTCTCTCTTCTCTCTCTCTCTCTCTTTTCCATCTCTCTCCACTCTCTCTCTCTCCCCCTCTCTTTCTCTCTCCTCTCCTCTCTCTCTCCCCTCTCTCTCCCCTCTCTCCCCTCTCTCCCTTTCCCCTCCCCCTCTCTCCTCTCTCCCCTCTCTCTTCCCCCTCTCTCTCTCTCTTCTCTCTCTCCCCTCCCCTTCTCTCCTCTTCTCTTTCTCTCTTTTCCCCCTCTTTCTCTTCTCCCTCTCCTCTCCTACTCCTCCCTCTGCTCTCTCTCTCTCTCTCATTTGTTTTTAAAGCTGCCTTTGGACTGACTGCTGGCCTGCTTTGTATGACGTTTTTTACTCTTAAAGTTTTTTTGGTTTTTCAAAGTTCTGTTTCCTTCCTTTTATGAAACTTTTATCAATAATGGCTCTGCTTTTGAAACTTTTGCTGATAATGGCCCTGTCTTTGAAACTTTTATTGATAATAACCTTTATTGGTGCTATATATATCCCTTGATCTTTGAGCCATGAGCCTCTCTCTCTCTCTCTCTCTCTCTCTCTCTCTCTCTCTCTCTCTCTCTCTCTCTCTCTCTCTCTCTCTTTTTTTACACAGGGTTTGACAAGGTTAAGGATCCCTAACTTTATTGACAAGCTATTTACAGGTTAAGGATTCCTAACTTTATTGGCAAGCTAAGAGCTGTTACCTACATCAGCTCATTTGAAAGCATTTTTATTGTTATGAGACATACAAGTAGGAAACAGGATGAAGTTGGAGCCATCTGTGCGCCAGCATTTTCATTTGATCAACTGACTTTATCTCGTTGACATCATTATGCTGTACGAATGTGTTCCATACTCTAGTCATCCTGGGTATGTATGATCTCAGATGGAGTGATGTTCTGGAGAAGGGTACAGCCAGAGTGAAATTGCTGCTTTCTGCCCGTCTTGTGGCATAAAAGCTTGTTTCACGCTGTCCTCGAAGTGGATCCAAGTGTAGTATTTTGACAATATTGGCCTTGTAAATAACAGTAAGGCCACCCACATCCCTCCTATGTTGAAGGCTCTGCTGAAATGACAGATCTATCCAGGATGGGTCCAGGCGAGAGATGAGACTTCTTGCTCTGTTCTCTACTCTGTCAAGCAGTCGCAGATGAGAGGGGGGGGAGCAGGCAAACCAAGAAAGTGGAGCATACTCAAGGTGTGAGCGTACTTGTGCCTCGTACAGGATCTTGCAACCCCTACTGTCAAGCAGATGCGAGATACGGCGAAGTGCTGTAAGCTTCCTGGCTGCCTTGTTTGCAAGATTTACAACATGGTTCTTCATGGTTAGTTTGGAGTCAAATTTCACCCCAAGGATATCAACTTCTTCTTAAGGTGCCAACATCCTCCCATTCATCCTTACTACTGCACCAACATTACCATCATGGTGCCTAGAGACGATCATTTGCGTTTTCTCAGGTGCAAATGTTACTTGCCATCTATTTCCCCAAGCTGATATAGCTCTCAGCTGGTGATTGATGTAGCTTAGAGCAGCTGACATTTCTTCTCTTGGATAAGTAAATGTCAGTGTACAGTTGTCTGCATATGCATGTGATTCTGGGATGAGATGAAGATCGTTGAAATAGACATTCCATAACAATGGTCCCAGCACGCTTCCTTGTGGAACACTTGCCCCAATAGGATGTCTTGCTGATTCCGTTCCAATGAGAACTACACTTAGAGATCTACCATGAAGGTAATCACTGAGGAGACATAGTGTAGAGCCTGCAATTCCCAGTGCTTGAAGCTTTGCTAAGAGGCCCTGGTGCCACACCCGGTCGAAAGCGCCAGCAATGTCCAGTGCTACCACACAGCTGAC